CCTTGTCCCGGATCCCTTTCTCCCAGCCCTTTCCCAGCCTTGTCCCGGATCCCTTTCTCCCAGCTCTCTCTCCCCCTTGTCCCGGATCCCTTTCTCCCAGCTCTCTCTCACATCCCCCCCTTGTCCCACCTGCCCCCACATCCCCCTGTCCCAGCCCTCTCCCAGCTCTTTTTCTCCCGGCCCTCTCTCCAACTCCCTCTCTCCCAGCCTTCTCCCAGATCCTTTTCTCCCACCCCTTTCCCAGATCCTGTTCTCCCAGCCTTCTCCCAGATCCTGTTCTCCCAGCCTTCCAGATCCCTTTCTTCCAGTCCCTTTCATCCCAGGCCTTTCCCAGCCCCTTTTTTCCAGTCCATTCCCAGTCCTCTCCTCAAACACCACCATCCTCCAGCCTTCCTCCCTCTGCCCCTCCCTCCCCACCCTGTTGATCCCTTTTCCCTACTCCTTCACGTGGAACGAATAGAAGAGATCTGTCTGTGCTGATCCCCTCTCTAGTCACTTCGTTAATAACAAACACAGTTATTGTTCTAATACCTTCATGTTAGCATTGACATGAGGAGTTTTTTGTCCAATGTGCTTTTTGATGCCTCCTTACCTCAAAAGAAAGCAAAAAATCCATTTCCTGGAGCAGAACTCTTCTATTCCCCTCCCTGTGGGCACTGTTAAATACACTGGTGTAGTTTATTCCCATTGCTGAGATTTCTCCATGATTTGCTCTGATGTTCATTGCCCTTTTAATTTTATTTTTTCCCCAAGTGAGACATCAGAAAAGTGAGGTACCTGACAAGAGGGGAGTCAGTAGATTCCTTGTAGTGTAACTCCTCACTACAGAAACTGCCAGAAGTTATTTGTTCAGAGGCATTTCTGCAGCTTTTTCCAAGTTCTGAGCTAGTCAGACCATGTTGAGCTGCTGAGGTGTTCACACTTTCTGTTTAAATCTGTCATTTATTTGTGGTGGACATCAGCAAATATCTCCTGGCAGTCTCATCATTCTGAGTTTCTTAACATTCATGTGTTTTTGTTAGGAAAATCAGTTCTTCATGTTGCTGTTAATGGTCTTTGTTCATTGGTAACTTTATTACACCTGTGTCTAACAAGCTGCACATTAAATTGTATTTGCAGAACAGAAAATGTCAATAGTGATTTGTATTGTACAAGTGTAATTTAGCTCTGCATAAAGTCCTTGTTAACCTTTTTTCTTTTTTGTCAATAGCAATATAATTTAAGTCTTTGGGGTTTTTAAAATATCACCTAGAAGAGGTTGTTGGTGGTTTAAACTCCCATACAGACTCCTGAGCAGGGAGGCTGCACTTTACTCAGCAGTGAGGGCAATAACACTGAGCACCTGCATAAAACATTTATTTACAGTGTTCGTTAGCATTAATTGAAGCTATTTCTGGGCTGCTCATTGAGGTGAAGGCTCACAGTGACTGGAAATTGTCCCTCTGTGCAGTGGGGGAAGTCACTCAGTGCCTCAGTGTTGATCCTGGTAGGCAGTTCAGTTCCATAGTTACTACAAGTGAGCTGTTTTAGCAAGAAGTGTAAAGTGAGCAGTTTGTCTCTCATTTTTAAGTTGCCTGTCACTGTCAGAGTTGGAGGTAATTCCCTGTTCTCTCTCTCCCAGAGCTGCTGTATGCCAGCAGTGCAGTGTGGCAGGTTCTAGCTCACAGCACTTCACCTTACCTTAGTTCACTCTCCAGGCTTCTCCTCAAGAAATCCTTTGCTGTGAGAACTTTCTGTCAAACGTTGCATCTGCCCTGGCAGATGCACCATCATGAGGACACTCAGCCACTCCCTGAAGTCAGATCATCAAAGCAGTGTTTGTAACAGCACAGTCCTGGCTGAAAAGCTTGGTGTAGGATAAAAGAGATCATCAGCTGAAACCTGCTGCTTTGTTAAACCACAAGTGTTTTGTCCTCATTTTAGAGCTAACTTGCTTTGTTAATCTTTGAAATACCCTTTTGCTCACACAAACACTCTACAGTCCAAAGGCTGATGAGCAGAGAAGGTGCAGATATGTTGCCTTTTGTATATTCTCAGGTCCGTGCAGGATTAATGTTCCCTGAAACTAGAACACAACTTGAGTGTGTGCAGAACTCAGCATATAGCACATTTGCTTCTGCTTTTTGTCTTTTGCTGTCTGTTTTATCCTGTGGTAACTTGTCAATAAGTGCCTTTAAAAAGCCTCTATGTGCCTCCTCCAGTCACAGTCACACCCTCTAACTCCCCAGTGGGTGCTGAATACTGCAGTGAGATTGCCCTTGCTGTCATACCTCTGTGTATTCTATTGCAGTTTTAATACCTGACAGTTTAGTACCTAGAAATATCACTGTGCAATTACTTTTGGAAAACAAACCAAGCTCTTGACTTGATCTCGTTCTTGCTGTTTACCAAGGAACGGAAATATTTCTTGAACAAGTTGGTGGATCAAGCAAAATGTTGACTTAAAATGCAATATCATGATGTGTTTATTGATTAGCCTTGTCTTAAGAGCCAGTTTTGTTCTTGGTAAACAATCATGCTTTAAAAATAAATCAGTATTTTCTCCACTGACCATGCCCTATATCTGTCCTATGTCTCTTTTTGCCCTTTTGTCTTTTGCTGTCTCTAACTGGATGGGGCTGATGGGATCCACAAATCACTTCAGGAGCTGGATGAGGTATTGTTTTTCACATTTCCTTCTGGCCTGGTGTCTCAAGGCTACATGATTGAGCTAAAATGTTCCTTTTCTGTATTCTGCTAGTATACTGAATTCCTTTAGGTAGGATAAAGTGTCTCCATGTACAGTAGGACAAGGCTGCATGGAGAAGTGCAGCATTTGAGGCTGTAATGTTACACTGTGAATAGATAAATGTCTAAACTCATCTGACTTCTGTATATATATGGGATAAAGTGACTTTGCACAATGAAGCTCTAAACTATTTTTCATGCTAAGCATAAATTATACAAACTTTATTGATCAGGAAATAAGGTCAGGGATAAAAAATAGCTCTTGAGAAAGAATAGCCCAGGAAGGAAAAGGGATTGTTTTTTAAAAAGGGATGGGGTAAGGAGCCACAAAGCTTTCCAGGCCTGATAGAGGGAAAATAGAATTTTGGGAGAAACTAGTCACTGAGGTGTTAGTATGAACTCTGTCCCCGAGAACAAACAGTGAAATAATTAGTCATGTTTCAAGTGGTAAATTCACCATTTTAGCAGCACGTTAGTTTGCAAGAGTGTTCTTTATCTGCCTGGTAGCCAAGTGTCTGGCTAAAACACATTGAGAACAAGTATGGGGGATACTGTTCTTATTTCCTGCAGTTCTAATAAACTCTTTTCCTGAGATTTTCCCAAACGGAATTTTCCAGCTTACCTGGCCTGGTACAATCTGTGCTGCACTGACTGTGAATAGTTGTCTGGTATGAAATGTACCAAGATGAGAATTACTTGAATTCTCACTGCAATACCATATTTTCTCCTTGAAAACCAGCTAAGAATTTATTCTAAGAGTAGCTTTCAGACCCTGTAGG